CATTCGATTTTTATACTGATCCTTACTTTGTGAGTGGGCAAACATTCAGAATCAGCAGGGGATCAAATACTTATTTCCTTCACTGTATGTGTAGGCAGCCTATTAATTTCAGTAGCCTGCCCTACATAAGAGAAACCCACAAAAGAAGTCCCTGATCCTTTGCAAAATTGCACTGTACCAAAATGTGCAAATTAGCAGATAAATTAAATTTTTTTTACGTTAAAGTGGAGCTCCACCCAGAAGGGGAAGTTCTGGTTTAAAGACTGGTCCCCCACTCCCTATTAAGGATTGACACCTTCGGGGAGTGTGGGGAGAAGTGGGTACCGGAAATTGACAGTTACCCGTCCCACTTCTACTGTGATCGCCTAGGCAATCGGAAGCAGAAGTTGTCCTCCCCCCTTTCCTAGTTTTCTGTGACAGTTTTTGTATCTGCTGACTTTTATTTTTTTATAATGTGACTGGAGCTCCGCTTTGAGGTGGTTTTCAATCTCTGATATAGAATATGAACAAAGCATATCCTTCTATAGTGTAGACTTGTCTCAATCCAGAGCCTTAAGTGTCATTTCTGTTTGCTGCCTCCTTACTCTGTCACTACTGACACTAAGAGAAAAATGGTTATAAGGGAGGGCAGTCCAGCAGATTGAAAGCCTAATCTCTGTACACTGTGTGAAGGGGGGGTGGACGGGTGTCCCTTGTCCCTTCCCACCAATCAGCTCTCAGAGCTGTCCTCACTGATGTAACTTCAGCTCCCTGCCCCCTACTTTTTAGAGCTGAGAGATTATGTGAAAAATCTGTACTTTGAATGGCTTTAGAGAATTTTGCAGATAAAAAGGTACAACCTGCTTAAAATGATTTGTTTCATCTCTGTGTATCACCCGAGACCAGTCACTTTACTGGGTATATGTAAGGGTTTACAACAACTTAGACCACTTGTTCTTCAGAGGATTTACCCCCCTTCCGGACCAGGCCATTTTTGTGATACAGCCCTGCATTAATTTAACTGACAATTGCGCAGTCATACAACACTTTACATAAAATGTATATCCTTTTTTCTCATAAATAGAGCTTTCTTTCGGTGGTATTTGATCACCTCGGTTTTTATTTTTTTACGCTATAAACAAAAACAGACCGACAATTTTGAAAAAAAAAAATAAACAATATTTTTGACTTTTTGCTATAAAACATATCCAATAAAAAATAAAATTGCATCATAAAGTTAGGCTAAAATGTATTCTGATATGTCTTTTTTTATTTTTACAGTATTAATGGCGACGATCAACGACTTATAGCAGGACTGCGGCGGGCATTCTGGCACTGGGGGGAAACTGACATCCCCAGTGACACTAATACAGTGATCAATGCTAATAACAAGCACTGACACTGTATTAATGACACTGGGCAGGAAGGGGTTAACATCTGGGGCGATCAAAGGGTTAAGTCCTCATGCACACTGGACGTTTTTACAGCGGCTGTTTTTGGCTTTTGATGTTTGACTTTTTTTCTACAGCTAGTAAACCCCCCCAGCATGTTATCCTATGTGTTCATGCACACATGGACAGCAATCAATGTTTTTGGCTGGAAAAAAAAACTAGTGGGTTTTTAGAGGAGTTTTTTAGCTGCAAAACGCGGTAAAATGCCACAAACCGTTTTTTGGGAACGTTTTGACTAAAAAAAAATAATTTTTTTTGGTAAAAAAAACTGCTAAAAGACGCAAATCTGGGAAAACACCGGTAAACGCTAATGCAAAAACGCTTAAAAAAGCTGAAAAACCTCAAGTTTTTAACGTGACTTCACACAGCTAACGTTACCAGTGTTATCAAAACACCCCATGTGCATGGAGCCGAACTGTGTGCTGTGTTTTATTTTGGAGATATGCTGTTGTGTACCTCTCTGCTGTGCAGAGACATACAAAGCAGCATGTCCATGCTGACAGGTGAGAAATCTGTGTTGTATATACACAGGTCTCTTTCCTGTCAGTTTTCAAGGATGATCGCAAGGTGTTGACAGGGAATCGCTGGCCAGGACCCAGTTAATGAAATCCCTAGTTGATATACATGCGAATCATGTATATATACATGTACAGTATTTCTGCTATAGGGCAGTGGGCAAGCGGGTAATGAATTCCTTGCATTAAGTCAAAAAATGTTTAGGTTAAAGTTTTGCTCCCTCACTCCCTCTAATACTTACCTGAGCCCAATCTCGATCCAGTGCTGTGCCTCTCTGCAGCGGCTCTCTCCTCTACTCCCCGCACTCACAGGCTTGGCGGAGAACCATTGGTTCCCACTGCTGTCTGTCAAATCTTGTGATGAGGGGGCAGGGCCGAGCCTCTCTGTCTATCAATGGAAAGGATCACACACAGGTGTACCACACTAGTATGCGGCTTCCTATGGTGGCATATCGAAAAGTGGAGGAGCCAGGATTGCAGGCGGGGGACTTGAAAAGGAGGTTCAGGGCTGCTCTGTGAAGTTCCACTGCACAGAGCAGGCAAGTATAACCTGTTTGTTATTTAAAAAAAAAAACAAAACAAAACATTAGACTTTACAATCACTTTAACGACACTGCTCAGTATTTGCTAAAGGGCAACGCGTTTCTGTGCATGTCGGGAAAGCACACAATTTTGCCTTTAAACTCGTTGCCATAATTAACACAAGGTAGAGCAGCATTGAGCACAGAGTACTCCATAAACACGGGTGCTCTATCTTCATCCAGTCTGCAAGTCTGTTATGGGGGGAAAGGAGGAAGACACAGCTTTTCCTATAGCTGTACCGCTGACCCTGACTCCATTCCAACACCTGACTGTGCATCACATACTTCCCTTCACTAATTCATGTGAGTGTATTTGTTTTTAACTTGTCACAGTAAAAGATAAGTATTATTGAGAAAAATCATTGTTTTTTGTCTTTCAAGATTCTCAGAATTCCTTGTGCTGTTGGTATGAGAGCTACAGGATCCTGGCATTTGTGACCAAATTTGTTAACCCTGTAATGGATTGTGCTCAAGGATGCTGTTCGGTGCAGAGTGGATATGGGTTGTTTTTTTCCCCAGTGCTGCTTGTAGTACTGTGGAAAATAAATTAAATAAAAAAAAAAAAAACAGTGTGTGGGCTCACATGTGATCCAATGAAACCTCATCCAATCAGCAAACGCCTTGTGCTAAGCTGGACTGATGTAAGTATGCAGTACAGATGTATCCTGGAGCTTTAAGAGTTAATAAAGTATATGAAGTGCCCTCTTCTAGTTAGGCTGCTAGGTTGAATTTAGTTTTTTGTCTCACTGTAGTTAGTGGAGCAGTAATCTATTAGTTTTGTTTGGTTAGGTAGCTGGGTGTTTGATTTCTGATGATGGCACTGATATGCAGCAATGTTGGGCACTGATAGGTGGCACTGATGTGTGGAGCTGACTGGCAGCACTGAATGACTTATTCTTGATGGATTCCAGGAAGTAAATGCTACATTATAATGCTTTATACTTCATGAATTTCAGGAAGTATATGTATCATGAATCATCTGCCCTTACTCAAGATGGCCATGGCCAGAAATGTTAGGAGGGGTGTTTTTCAAAGTGATTTCTCAACAAAATAAAGCAAAGAGACAGGGATGGATGAATTTGCTTTCAATATTAAAAAATGAATTAAACATCATTTTCAGTTTGTGGTGCTTGAAGGGATTAGCCTTTTAGCTTAATGTGCCGCCATTTTGTTCTCTGATTAGCCTAAGTTCTGCCATTTCAGAATGAATATCCATTTTAAACTTGTATCAGTATTTGAAAGATTAATTATTGTTTTAAGACTGTTCTTTGATTTTTTGTAAGAGTTTAAAGTTCCTTTTTTCCTCTCAGCTCCAATTTCCCTTATTCCTACTAGCCAGCATAAAAGTGAAAGTCTGCAATTGAATATATCCTGTCGCAAGATTATAAATAATTATAGCCAATGATAAATAGGGAAATTGGCTACTTTCTATCCTGAATAAAAGGTCATAATTGACGCATATGATAATGATTAACATATATGATATATGATTGGTTATGATTAACATATATGATATTTGATTGGTTTCTATATATCTGATATTTGATTGGTTTTATATTCTTATGCATTGTTTGAAGTTTCATATATAAGTTTAAACACGGAAGAATAAATTCAGTTCAGTCTGAGATACCATCTTGTGTCTGTGTGCAATTCCTATATCTCAGAGTGGGCTCCAGATCTGAAGGACAGTGACTGGTCAACCGGGGACAGACGGGGGTCATTGTATCTGGGAAGGAACATGAGCCAATTCCTTTCAGTGCTCAGATGCAGTTTAGTTCCACTTTAATGGCTTCTTTTTTTAATGTAACAGCTTCCCATTTCAGCCTTTGAAAAAATGAAGATATGTTATCAATATACTGTAGTTCGTGGAGTTTGGGTTGAGATGTTCTCAAGATGAAAAATCACTTATACTGTACATTATAAAACTAACCAAGAGTGTGTTCACCATTTTGGAAAATACAGTGTCTTTTTTTTAAGCTTGAGTTGTTAATAAATACTTTTCCAGCCCAAGCACCCAGAATAGCATGAATATTGTATGCACCAGCTGTATGATTTTTGAGAGTCAGTTGGCCACATGATGTCCCCTGCAGTTGGGTGTTACAACATGAACAGCTAATTTTTAATGGTCACTCATGTAATCTTGTGTTATCAGGTAAAATTCTTTTTTTTCTAAACTATAGTTGAATATATACATGCAGAATTTTGAATGCACATCTTTGAAGCAACGAGCTGACTAACAAAATGGTAGGCTTAGGATCTGGCAGACAAAATACAATGCACAATAAATTACGGTATATGAAAACATAGAGTATAATTAAAGGCTATTCATTTTATTATCTAATAATTACTCATAATTTAAAATAATGTAATCATTTTTATGCCTCAAAAAAACAAATATTTATGTTGGTCTCTGTGGCACGTCTCTCCTCCTCTACACTATGACACCATCTCTTAAATGTTGCATGAAGGGTATTTTACCGAGGAACTGCAAACATTGTATAATGCCGAGCTCTTGAAGCATTGGTTTTGGGTTCTGGGGTGATCTCTACTTCCTTCTTATCCACAGTTGGTTTCAAAGTAAACCTCTGGAGTACAGTAGTGAAAAACAAGAAAAGCTCCATACGGGCCAGACCTTCTCCTGCACATACACGCTTGCCTAAGGTGAAGAAAAGGGGGGAAAAAATTCAGCTTTAAGATGGCAGCACATGTACAACCTGCAGGTTACAGTTCTCTTGCTTGTTGGGGAATTGGTGCTTAAGGAACACCTAATAATGCTCTTTAAATGCTTTCCAGCCCCTTCGAGGTTCAGGGCAGACTTTGTGACTATGTACACCATTCTAACTAAACACACCACTAATCAAAAGGGGTTATTCACAAGATGGATCTGACTTGAGTGTAGTGTTTGGAAAATAGGTAGGTTGCACAGCACATAATGATTGTCAAGAGGCTGTGGTCCTGTCCACAATCTCTCTGGAAGATAAAAAAAAAATGTGCACCATCAATCCAGACAGTAGGGGGTTCATTATTATTGTCCAAAAGAGTGCAAAAACTCTGATTCTTAAAGGAAGAGGCCAACCAAAGGCATCATCAGATGTTATCTGAGAGAAATCCTCCAGATGACATTCATACAAGCAACAGAAGAGTGTCTAACCTCAACCAAGAAAGTGACATCAAGTGCTTTACACCCCCATTGAAAAGCTCTGCAGCTTACCAAAGCTTATTGACCCTCAGACCATAAGTGGTGAAATGCACTCAAAAGCTTTAAAAAGAGGCATTCACCCAAGCTCTGCCAAGCAGTCAGCATAGCTATCCAAATAGGACCTCCTTCAGGCACAGTGTGCAAAGTATGTAAACATAAAACACAAGGACAAACGCGTCCTTGCTATGTCATGAAACACGTAGGGTAGAGCCAGGATGTATGGAGGCAATCTTAGTTACTGGTCAGCATGAACAACTGTATGGAGCAGGACCCCGATTTACTCTTTTTTTTTTTTTTTTAATAGTTCTTCTTGCTGCTTCCTCACCTAGATCTAGTCTTGACCACACCTTGCCTCCTAGGATATTCACGTTAACATTCAAGGAGGCAATGTTGCAGTCGGAGGTGAAGTATCGCTTAATTTCAATCCTGGCAGAGATCTGCGACATGTCTGTACATGAACAGGATCTTGCACATGAGCATATATGCTCTGGGTCTTTGCCAGATATTTAGAACCCTGAAGCGACCTTTGGTCTGAACATGCTTGAGATCTCCCTGAGCAGGAGTTTCAAGATGGCAGCACGGAAGCAAAACAGCAAAAGGAGAGATTCAACCTGGACTCAATGGACTAATAGGTATAATTTTTACTATCTTACAGAGAAAATTATTAGAGAGTTGAAATTTAGTTTTTCCTAGGTAGGGTGAAGTTTTTATCTAAACGACAGTCAAGTCTTGCCTCCTATTCATATTTCATATATCTAAAATTGTGAAAATGAAAAAATATAGCTAATCTGATCAACACCTTTGCTGACCAATAGTTACCAAATACGAATGACAAGTAAAGTCAGTTGGAGCAGGTATTTGATTGAGCCTGGTTTCACATACATGCAGTGCATCGCATGTGATTCGCACAGGAACCGCACCATATTCCTGTGCAAATCACATGCGATTTGTGTGCGGTGCAATTGGGAGCCATACATTTTGTATGGCTCTATTCGCACCGTACCCGCACAAAAAACGTGCAGGACCCTTTTTTTGGTCCGCACTAGAATCAGATTGCATGGGTATTCACACCTATGCAATCCGATTCTGCACATCGCACCACAAACACCCACCCACAGCGGTTCGCATGAACAGGGTGCGATTGTGATGCGGTGTGGAATGCGCACTGAAAATGCTGCGAATTCCGCACTGCATCAGTGTGAACCAGGGCTGAAGATCTGCATAGGTTTTGCTCGCTGGCACGCCCACCTTTCCTGAAAGTTTATGTCTACAGCTAAAATAAGCACAGTCAAATCCATTGTGGTTTGCTTCTAACCAAGAAGCACTGACTGTATATGCAGAAGAAATTAAGCATCCTCATTTACACACAGAAGGTGCATAGTATAGCTAAACAAGAAATGGATAATGGACTGCCTTTAATGTTTGCATAAATCCGCACGTTCCTAACCCCAGAAACCACTAAACAGCTCTTCCACTCCCTCATCATATCACGACTCGACTACTGCAACTCCCTCCTCACTGGCCTGCCTCGCCGCTGGCTATCCCCGCTTCAGTCGATCCTGAATACGGCTGCCAGACTCATTCACCTTTCCAACCGCTCCATCTCCGCCACCCCCCTCTGCCAATCCCTCCACTGGCTTCCGATTGCGCAACGGATCAAATTCAAAATCCTAACACTGACGTACAAAGCTGTCCACCATACTGCCCCGTACTACATCACTGACCTAATATCCAAGTACCACCCAGCACGCACACTCCGCTCCTCACAAGACCTCCTTCTCTCTAGTTCCCTGGTCTCCTCCTCCCATGCCCGCCTCCAGGACTTCTCCAGGGTGTCACCCATCCTCTGGAACTCCCTGCCCCAACCCATCAGATTATCACCTACTCTCTTCTCCTTTAGGCGCACCCTGAAAACCCATCTCTTCAGGGAAGCCTACCCCACCCCCTGCTAACCTGCCGACCTCCTCCACTCTTCCTACCACTCCATTCCCCACAGCTATCTCCTCCTGTGCCACCATCCCCTCCCTCCTAGATTGTAAGCTCGAAAGAGCAGGGCCCTCGATCCCCTCATGTTTTGCATTGTATGGGTATTGTTCTGTCACATGTTCTGTCCCCCTTTGTAATGTACAGCGCTGAGCGAACCATTGGCGCTTTATAAATACTGTATAATAATAATAATAATAATTCTCTAGTACTGTACCTGCAGAAAATGGCATAAAGGCATCATTTTTCTTAAACACCCCATTCTCATCAAGAAAGTGTGCAGGATCAAAGTTAGTAGGATTCTTAAAGAATTTGGGATCTTTCAAAACAGAAGTGAGGGTAACAACCACCAAGGTGCCCTAAATTGAAAATAAGATAAAAATACAATCAAAACATAATTATCATCACAAATTTCTAATTGGAGTTTTGGAAAAGTATTTTAACTGATTTTACTCTTTATCTTAGAGTTTAGCAACCTGAACTATAGCATGTCCTGCAGTTTAAGAGAACCGGTCACCTTGCCCAAACTCCACCATTAGTGGTGAAAAATCCACCTATTTTTATAGGTTAGGATTTGCAGCTATTTGTATATTTATTATAATTTTTTCCGTGTCGCTATTTATACTATCTTATTACAAACTCCACTATTGCAGCTGCCAATATACCTGAGCTGGTGTCAAATCTCAGATGGAGGAGTTACCTAAGTTCCATTATGTAACAATTCTCAGACCTTGTGATAGGCCATGGGAACTACATCATGGAAGGGGGTCACATGTCCCTATAGCCAGAAACACATCATCAACGTCCATAAAAGAGGAGAATTTGGGGATCCTTGGAGAAGGAAGAAAAGGTAATTTGGAGAGTAGGATTTTATAAAGATCCTGCCAATTGACC